TTCTTTTGTTTTGTTTTTTTATTTTTTGTATATATATAGACACGAAGGATTAAATCTTATATTTAGAGGCTTAATTAAATAATTAGTCTATAACTATTAGCTTAATTTCATTTAGTCTAAAAAGTTTGTTTTTCCGTACAAAATTTTTGTTGGATTTAATGGAAAAGAACAATTTTTTAAATTTTGAAAAAGTGACACTACAATCCCAATAAAATATGATGATTGAAAAAATACATTATAGAAATAAATTAGTTGAAATTTGTAATAAACTTAAGCAACTAGATCAATTAGTTAGAATTTATAATAAACTTAAATAATTAGATCAATTCAAACAAAAAAACTTAACAAGTTTAGAACGAGAAGTTTCAAAAATAAGTCTTGCAAATATAGTAAAAGTTAGAATGATATCTTATAGAATTGATGAGTTACTATGAGATAAATATGTTTATAAAGTTTGTAAAGCATCTACTCTAGAAGAATTAAAACATGAAGCAAGATAAGAATAAAAATTGTTTTTAGGGTGAATATAAATTTAAGAACTAAAAAATCAAAAGAAATATAGTTAGAAAATTAAATGTTTTCTTATAAAATACGAAGATTTTCATTAAAGTTGAAGATAATGGATTAGATGAAATTGAAATAAATGTGAAAGATAATAAACAGGATTGAAAGAATTTAAATATAACAAATGAAACTGAAAATAATATAAAAATTAATAGATGATTTGTTAAATTAAGTCTAAATTTATATATGTGAAACATGTTTAATTTGAAACTTACAAAGAGTGTCGCCCACATTGAACGTTTTTCCCTGAGCCCAGGTACTGTAATCGACACCTTGGCTCCAGCCACTGCTGTCACCAACAATATAATTGACTGCATACACTGTCGGAGAAGCGACGAGGAGGAGGAGGAAAGCAACTGCTATGGCCATAGCTAAGCCCTTGACAATAACAATATGCTTTGGGGAGATGATAAGAATGCTTCGACACAGGGCCTTGAAGCACGTTAGGTGTTTTATATATAGAAAGCAAATCATGGAATTTTCTTGCATTCTTCTTTGTTTACACTCCGCGTTTTGACGACTCTGTCGTATTTTGAAACTAAGACAGGATATGATAATGTAGTTGTTATTATCTACGGCTAACGCGTTAATTAGCTTTAATTTCCTTCATGACTTACTTCCTACTTCGAAGGAGGTGAGCCGTGCCCCGCACGGTAAGTTTGTAAATAGTAATTTATATTTTTAATTTTTATAAATATTATTTTTATGTAAAATATTATTTACTTTCAAAAACTAATTATAATAAAAAAACATTATATGTATTTTAGGATTCTCTAATTTATATAAATTTTTTCCAATAAAAGATAATCAAAGAATTCTCTGTTTGTGTATAAGCTTATTTTTTGCTTTAATTTAAAGCATCATACACACTTTCATTCAATTAAAAAAGATATATATTATTAAAAAATTAACCTTATACAATTAAGA